CATTTTGGCAAAGGGTTTCATCAGTTTTTAATGGTTTTCATTCAGCCTCTGAGCTCAGACTAACTGGCATAAGAGTTCCTGGGCACCTTCCATCCATAATCAATTTCTCTGTGTCCAATGTCATTATTCCATTTGTTTCAATTTTGGTGAATTGTTATGATAGCAAATCCTTCTTCTACAATTTATCTTGCTGAAGTTCCCAAAATAAAATTTTATATAAAAAGTTAGCTGACAGCAGGCTGGTCAGAAAAGTATTATTTTCTTTTTCAGTTCTGTGAGTGTTACACATCTCTGGCTGCTGAAAGTAGCAGTGGTGTGATTCTCATTGTAATTTGTGCAATATTCCAGTCAGTAATAGTGTCTTGTTGAAATATGCATGAAAAAGTCCATAACATTAGTGTAATGGACACACTCCAACACATCTTTCTCATCCAGCTTCCTCATAAAGATTTTAAATGACTGTCTTAATTAGATCTTAATATTAACAGGAATATTACATAAAGCTAAATGAGGACATAAACTTCTGCTGAAAGCTACTTCTACCCAAACCCCTGCCCTCTGCTCTGCACACACCAAATGGTTTTGGAACATTTTCATGCTCCATCTTGGTTCTACTGACTGCTCCTTTTTAAGCTTTTAGCAACAAATCAAGCTTTATTTTTTTGCTTAACAAAACCTTCCAAATCCGTCAGAGAAAACAAGGGATTACCTTGCTTAAGGTCAGATTCACAATAATCTTGATTACAGCCCTGGCATTTCATTGATCAAAGCACTAGGGAACTAATAAGAAAATGTTCAATACAGTAGATTAACTTGGTCGCTTCCCTCTTTTTATTTTATTTTATTTTTCTTTTTTTTTTTTTTAATAATATCTGTTTCATCCTAATGAGCTGTTACAGAGAGTTCAAACAGAAGTTTATTGCTGAAGGTCACTGTACATCTTCTCCATTCAGTAACAACTAAGAAGCTATTTTGGACTCTTCTAGGAACACCCAAAGACCCTTTCTGGAGCTGCCCAGCTACAGGTATCGCTGTAAAGCAGGTACATGTACAAAGTTCTGGCACAGCAGTGCCTGTTAGATCTGTCAGGATATTCCTTACACAGTAATGAAGACCAAGTGGAGACTTGTGCCTGCATTGTTCTATTAAGTTTCCTCTTGTTTCCATATCACAGCATGCTCAGTCAAAGCTATTTTGGTGCTTCACTGATCAAACTGATTTTTCCCTTTGATGATAATATGAAATATTATAGGATAATAGGGTTGTTATATAATCAAAGTCGACAGCAGGGAGCTAAATTTGTGTTGTTTTGATGAAGAGCACATTAGTGTGACATAAATAGACTAATCTGATTTATTATTATTATTTCTAATGCTTAATAATAGGGAATGGTAGGGGAAATGAGACTCTGGGGAATGAGAGTGCATCACAAAGTGATAGCAGGCATTAGGATGTCTAGTCATAAGCAGCACCACTACCACCTGCTCGTAGCTGAATTTCAAAAGAGCGAGTAGTGAGCAACAGAAGTTGCTCTGAAAGAGATTATATCTTAAATGGAATAAACCCAATAATGTATTAGCCAAAATATTCTGTGAAAAGCAGTGTTGTGAGAAGAAAACATGTAGGGCAGTAAGAAGTCAGAGACACAACTGACAAAAGTCAGCTCACCTTTCACTGGCTGGTTTTTCATGTTTAGCTGAAAAGCTGGGATTAACCTTGGACAAAAGCTTCCCTTTCATGATTCAGCCTGTTCCAGTTCCAGACAGCCCAAACCATTATTCACACATCAGTCAAGAACCATGAAAACAACTAAAGAGAGAGGCAGATTTTGCCTCGTGTTCTGATGTGAACATGTGAGGGTTCTTGTGTCTGGCTGCTCACAAATCAAAGTCCTGCAAGAGTTTCCTTGCAAATGAAACATCCATCCTGCTACTTCCAAATCCCATGTGTGGCAAAAATATATGTTGGACACAACTGTGGGTTGTTCAGCCAGAAAATAAAATAAATCAGCATATTTGAAAATCCCAAGGAATGCAGATACATTCAAGCAAAACACTTTCAAACATATACACTGGTTATATCTTTTAAATTTAAAAGTATGGCTACGGACATCTACTCTGGCTCCTTCATATCAACATACACAGATTTCTTCAACTACATCTACAAACTTCAACTAAGCTAAAGCAGAGCTATTATAAAGCCATTGAGTTTTAATGCAGAGACTCTGAGTGGCAGATAACCCATGATATGCTGAGGTAAGTTTCTCCCCTGGTTAAACACCCCATCTATTAAAATTGACTCTTCATTTATGGTTCCAGAGGGAAGATTTAGTAACAAATCAGCTAGAGTACATAAAGTTTTCAACCTCTCCAGTTCAATATGTTTTATAAGACATTTAAAGGTGATTTTTTTATATGCAGAAGAAATAATAGATTCTTCATTTCTTAAAGAAAAAGAAAAAAATCTATGCAATGTTTTATGAGATGCAACTGCTTTTTTTCTTTTTAAAGATTTTGCTAAAGGTCCTGTTACCAAAATTCTCCTTTGCCAGACACAGAATTCAACTCGAAATCTGCCAAACCCTAAAATTTCCCTGCTTCTCTCCAGTGTCAAATACACCCAGCAGCTGTACATGATACAGAGGTGAATATTCCAGGCATACTTCTTATCTCCATAGCAGGAAAAGAGACATACATTTATTTTCACTTCTGGGATAACAAACAAAGAGGAAAAAAGTGAATTTGGGGAGCACTGTGAACCCTATGGGCTGTCAGGGGAAGCAGCTTCGAGGTGTCAAACACTGAGGTGGTTTAACACATCCTGAAACTGCTTTTTTAGGTATTCTTTTATTGCACCTTCTGCCATCAGCATTTGCCCTAGGACATGGTACTGGCAGCACAGCATTGATGCACCCAGCTTGCCCCACACATTACTCTGAAAATGTCCATCCTCATTAAGAATCCTGTTCTTCACCAATCTTAATGGAGGATTTCATGCCACAGCAATTTCTACACCCAAAGGAAGCTGCATAACAGAGTCAAAGTCATGGATAACTTGCTTGTCATTTACTGACTGAAAGACAGATGTGGAGAACATAAGCATATTTGATAGTTAATAATTTAAAGCCAAGGAGAAGACAACAGAGGAGGAATGACACTCCTTATTTCTCCCTATTAATGCTCTTTATAAATGTCTCTTTGAGAGGGTATCAACATCCATCAGCACACAGAGCTCAGAGCTGGGCACACACCATCTAGTTTTAAGGGTAAAAAAAGGATTATTGCTTTTACACTGAGAGCACAGAATGGTAGAATCAGCAGGAGGTGATTAGTGCCAAAAAGAAATGGGTTTTGTATGGCAAATTAACACAGAAAGCGATTTAAAAGATAGAATTAAATCAGAGACAAAGGTGCAGGTTCATAAAACCCCCAGTCCTACCCTTGTAAAATCAAAGATAAATCTCCAAAAGCACTAAATCCCATGTAATCACTGAAAATTCCTATTCTGTTAAAAGGGAGCTGGATTAGGCCTCTAATTAAGTTCTGTAAAGTCTGTTTGGTCCGGATGAACAACTGAGAGATGGACAATGTCCAAGGAACAACTCTATGACATGGTCTCAACATCCTCCACTACAACTTGCCAACACAACTGCTCCTGCTGTTACCCTTCAAACACTGGAGTAAAGCTATTTTTGCCTGTTACTGCTAAATGCATTTTGCCTTTGCCTAGCAAAAAAAGCAATATCACATCTAATCTCACAAGTTCCCAGTGAGCCAAACACAAGATACTGTCCCTTGAATTCTTCCTGAGACCAACAAAGGCTTTCCATTATTTACAAATCAAAAGCATTTAGAGACAATCATCTTTATTTTTTTTTATTTAAAACAAGGAATGCCCTGTCACTATTATATAAGAAAAAATATACATCCTCCTATTTATACCCATCTCAACCAAGCATTCCAAAGAATAGAAAATCCTATTCATGCAGGTAATTGCTGCATAAAATAATAATAATAATAATAATAATAATAATAATAATAATAATAATAATAATAATAATAATAATAATAATAATAATAATAATAATAATTTATAAATAAAATTAAAATAACAAAATACACTCTCCTGTTCCAACAATTTTTCCAATTTGTCCTAGGAATTCTATTTTCAAATTGTTGGAACAGTTGAAAATTATAAAATTAAATATAGTTAAATTAATATGATTATTTGCTTTTGATTATTAATTCCATTGCTAGTTTTTCTTGTGTTTTTATTATGCATACCAGTTTTACAAAGTGCATGCTTTATTTTTTTTTTTTTTAATTTTGAACTGGCAAGCTAAAATGATCCATCTTCTCCTGCCTTTTTTTTTTTTAATGTTAATACAATCTAAAATCTAGCATTAAAAAATTTACCATGATACACCTGGTATATTGACTGCTTATGGCGCATGCTTCTCTTGGCAAAAAAAAGAAAACCAAAACAAATTGGCTCCCCTCCCACCCTCCCCATTCCTTTTGGAAGCAATCTAAAAAAGCAGGCTGGAACACAACTGCTTCAAGGGCAAAAGAAAAAATAATACCTGATGCTTTAATTTTGTCACATGGCACTGGTTGTGGAATTGCACACGCGCACACACGCACACGCACCCGGCACTCACACAGGCACACGCACGCACACTGCAACCTGCTCGTGAGGAAAAAAGTTTGTTAGGTCAGGAGTGCCACTGGCACATGAAGGCTCCCAGCTGTGTGTGCAACTTTGGATTTGGTACCCACTTCACGTCACCTTGAATCCTCTGACATCCACCAAGGGGGTAATGTAAGGCATACTTTGCTGGAACAGTAATAATCCATGCTTCATGCTCAAGAGCTGAGTCTCAGAGGAGGACTGGCTTGCTCTACTCCCTTTGGCCTCGCTCCGTCTCACTCAAGGAACAGAAAAACCCAAAACAACAAAGAACTGGGAAAAACAAGGAAAGCAAAATAAGACAAATCCCTTTAAATGGACTTTCGCCGTTTCATCAGCCTGTGGTTATCTGTAAAGCTGTGCAACCCAGGTGAGATGGAGCTGACAGGAGATGGGAAAAGGCTGTTTTTTAATGTGCTTGGCGAGATCTCCTCTATCTTGTAAGAGATGGAGTGAAAGTACTGGGGGTTCAGCTTCGAGCTGAACGAATTTTGGTGGGACACCACCCGGCTGGTGTACTCGTGGGACCTGTAACACATGCAGGAACAAACTGACTGGAGGTCTGTAACTTCGGCCTTGTAGCGCGGCCGGCCGTGCTGGGAGTCCTCTTGGATGTGGATAATCATGCTGTTGCGGTTCCCTGCCAGGGACGCCCGCTCCTCGGCATCCCTCCTCTCATCCTCACTGTTCATGGTCAAGAACCTGAGAACAACCAGATTTAGAAATGCCCCAATGACTGTCAACCCCACTAGAATGTACATAAAGCTAAAAGCCACGTAGAGAGGCTTCTTCTGAAGGGCCCCTTTGGTCTGCAGGGCCACATAGTCTCCAAACCCTATCGTAGTCAATGTTATAAAGCAGTAATAGTAAGCGTGGAAAAAGCTCCATTCCTCGTACTGGGAAAAGGCTGCTGCTCCAATGCAGAGTGTCCCCATGCAGGAGAAGAACCCCACAGTGACCATGTTTTCCATGGAGACCTCGGTGCTCCTCATGCCGCAGCACTTTTTGATGCGTTTCAAGAGGTACTTGACGAAGGTGTTCATGCGCTCGCCCAGGCTCTGGAACATGACGAGGGTCAGAGGGATCCCCAGCACGGCGTAGAACATGCAGAAAGCCTTCCCTGCATCCGTCCCTGGGGCAGCGTGTCCGTAGCCTGGAGGGGGGATGGAAACACACCACAGTCAGCAGGGCAGGGGATGGTCACGGCTCCCCCATCAAGCAAGCCACACAAATCACTCTGACATTCTATATGCCTCTGTCACAGACATGTTTTCTGAAAAATCTTTTTGCTAGGATCTTTCCTCCTGAGAAGCTGGGAAGCTTCAGCTTTCTCCATATTTTGCTGCTTTGGAATGTAATTTGGAGAATTGTTTACCCAGCATGTGAATCGTTTTTACTTGATGACCAATGATAGCCAGCTGTGTCAAGGCTGTGAGCAGTCACAAGATTTTATTATTCATTCCATTCTTTTCTAGCCTTCTGATGTTTCCTTTCTCCTTTCTTTACTATAGTTTTAGTATATAATTTTATTTTAATATAATATATATCATAAAATAATACATCATCCTTCTGAAACATGGAGTCAAGATTCTCATCTCGTCCCTCATCCTGGGGACCCTCAAACACCACGACATGATGCCACAGCCAGATCCAAAGCTGCAGGGACCCGGAGGTCACACCATCTTCCCATATCACCTCACCCACGCCCTGTGTCTGAAGTAAACAAGGCACAGAAAAACAATGTTCATGCAGGAGTGGGAAAGGTGAAAGAATGAGCAGCCTGTTCTGCCTCAATTTTCTACCTCAACAATGTTGAGTCTCCAAAACAAGGTTATATCACATTGATTAACCAAAGAAATTTCATGTCTGTTCAGTGTCACAGGTAAAAGTGGAAATTTTGGAAATAGATGGACTTTCTCAGGGTGTTTTTGAGAGCAGTTGGTGTTACTCTGTCCCAAAACCAGAGTACAGTGATGGCATCCAAATTTTGTATCTGCTGACAGCATGGAGTTAACAACATCCACAGGCCCACCAGCCAGAGAAATTCCTTTTGAACTCTCCCATACTGAATAAGCCTTTCTCCAAGACACCTAATGAAAGTGACTCATTGCTGGAACAGCATAGGAATTTAGGGATTTAATGCCCATTCTACCTTTACTTACTGGAAGAATAAACAACCTACCATCTTGTGCCATAGTTTTACAGCTTTGACAGTTAGTATGGAAAAGGCAATTTCATCAGGATGTTAAACTAATCCAAGAATAGAGGATATACCACATTTCACAGCATAGTTTTCAGATGGTAAAATCATGGCTAATCATTCTAAATCAAACTATAAGCAGGGGGTTGTTTTGATTTTATAATTATACCTATTCAGATCACATTGCTTCAAAAAATCTACATTTCTTACAGCTGAGATTTTAAGAGAGTGTACCAAAGTGTCCAAAATGAGATGGCTGGGACCCACTTGCCCTTTGTGTCCATTCACCATGTGGGTACCACTATCTAGAGTCCCTTTACAGTCAGTGAGAAAAACTATGTACTTCACAAGGGCAGTTCCTATTGTGTACACAGAGATGTCTAAAACAGGTCAGTGAGTTATTCTCAGGAGACAACTATTTCTCTACAAGCATTATAATAGAAATCTTGGGACAGAACTCTGTTCAAGATTAATATACCTACATTTATGTATTTGCATGTGTTCTATGTGTCCAAACTCCTGTTGCAGTCAACAAAAATTCTATGAAAACAGGCAGCAGTGAGTTATTTCACTGACCATCCCAAGTCTGGCAAAAAGAAATGACAGTTCTGACTGCTAATTGATCATGTTCATTAGGTCCCCATTAGACTGACTAGACATCTGTTGACCACAGAAGAATTTAGACACCCACAGCACTAGCAGACAGCTACCTGTAAACAGCCAAATGAAGATATCCTAATCATGATGGTCACCTTGAGTGACTGTCTCCAATACATCTGCCTGCATTGGAGGTATTGAGGGTTTAAATCAGTTTTCCAGAAAGAACCATCTAGCTTTATACCAGACCTCTGAGATATCAGGATACCCATAGATGGCTGGCAGATAAAGCACAGGGCATTCAGCAGACCCACACTCTTACAGATCTGAAGCTGGAGGACATGTCTGACATGAGATACCACTGAGGCAGGACCACTGAGGAGCCCTGCCCATCACCTTTAGACTCAGGTCATGGACCTGCTGCTCTGAGTTTGTCTAATTATTTTTCTAACCCTTGACATTGCACACCTCCTCAGTCTCCTGTGGCAACAAATTCCAGAAGTTCACTATCTGCTATGTAGAAAAGGTACATTTTAATTTCAAGGATATCTCCTTGTTTCAGCTAGAACACCTTAGTTGCAGAATTGAAGTTCTAAATCTTCCTTATCTACCACCTTCATGTTTTCAGCTAAACTCAGCTTTATCTCTGCTCTCAGCTTTTTCCTGTCTAAACTGAATCCACAGCCTTTTTAACTCATATAGCAGAAGTCACATTTCCTTGATCATTTCTGTGTCCTTCTCTGGACCTTCTGTAGCTCTGCCAAACCAGTGCTGAGGTGCAGAACCCAGAATTCTACCTTCCTCTCAGGATGGGGCTGCATCTCAAGAGTCTGCACTTTTACTAGAACTAGAATACAAACACCAGGCAACCTTCAAAATGTAAAGCGAGAGTAGACAAGGAAAATAAAACAAGAAAACCAGCAAGAATCCCTTTCAAAAAGCAACAGGTTTATTCTTTAGGTCAGTTGGTATTTGGTGATGGTTGGGTTGTAAAAACCACTTTAGAAAAGAAGCACAAAACTCAAAACAGGAGGTTCTTTTCCAGGTTATAGAGGAAAGAGATTCACCTGTTGTATTGAGCCAGGTAGTCTGTTCATCATAAAAAGCAGTTTCCAAATTACCTGGAAAAGGAAGTGTCTTCAGCAGATTGATGCTGGGTTAGTTCCACCTGACTGTCCCTCAATAAAGGCTGTAATTGCCTCTCATTACTAAGATCAGCTTTTGAACTACAGGGGTGTTAATTAAACCAGGGACGTCTTCCTATTTTATAGCTTTAGTTACAGATGATAAAGAGAAGGAAAGCTTCAGAAAATGTGATTTTCCAGATGGTTGCAGAAATGGCAGTTGGTGGAAACAACTTTTACTTTGGGTTCTAAAAAAAATATTTGGGGTGAAATAAAGTTTATTTTGATCTCACTATATCCTTCCCATTAAATATATCCCCAAGAAACAGTTTAGGGACATAATAAAACATTAATATTTTGTGCTTGCATGTTATCTCACAGTTGAATTTCTAAGATTTTTCACAGATTTTGTAATTATTTTTCCTATAAGATACAAATATATCCATATCCCTGTTTTACAGATAGGGAAGCACAGACACCAGCAGGCTTTAGTTTCCCTCCAATTCACATATGTAGATAGTAAATCCAGAAATGTTGACATCTACTCCTCCCCCAAGTCATACTCATGTTCCCCAATATCAGATAAATGTCTCTTGCTGTATTTTCACCATGAATCTGGGGTAAAGAAAGAACTTTATTCATGAAGCTGGAATAAGACTCTACAAATAGATTAATGTACAGAGGATTAGAGACACATATTTATCCTATACAATATGGCTTTAAGGAATTGCCATTGTCTTAAACACTCTGAAATGAGGGATGTGAAAAATACCCCAAAGACAGACCTAACTCTCCATTACCTAAGCATTGCAGAATCTATCCAGCACTGTACAGAGTAATACACGGAAAGCAAACTGCAGCAGTGCATGTTCTCTGAAATTCAGTATTTTTCAAATCTAAAACAAACCATTGCCTTCTTAACACCAGAGACTGCCTCTGGGAAAAGGGGAAGGTGAATAATTGCCAGAGGAAGAGGGGCACAAAGGAGCAGTAATGCTGGGAAAGGACACAGGTCACAGAGTCAGTCTCCAGGTAGTTGGGTTTTACTTGCATCAAGGAAAGGCAGAAGTGGAAGCAACTGCCTTGGTAGAAGACTCCAGCTACCAAAATTCTTCCTGATTTCCTCTACACAAATGTCATTGCCCTTTAGCAGAGTATAAAGAGATGACTTTGTGTGATCATTAAGAAACACAAGGCTTAAAGAAAACCAGAAGCATTAATGATGGCATCAGGGCTTCTGTGGTGAAGAAGAAATATCAAACAGAAGACTTTAGTACTGGGTACAGGAAATGCATCTCATAGTAAGCCACAGAGCTGAGGTAAGAGTGAGAAAGGTATAGAAGGAGGTCTGCACTGGACCACACCTAAACAAACACTGCCCATCCTACTCTAGTATAGCAACTGCTTGTGCTTTTTACCACAACACAGCAAAGTGACCACAGCAGGCAGCTTTGTCTGGTGTTTAATTGGATGTCATTTGAGTGATCAAGCAAAGTCTAAATAACTCTCACTCTGATTGGAAGCAATGTCATTAGGAGTCTCCCTCACTTTCAAACCCCCTCCCAGCTGCTTAGGCTTTCAAGACAGAGTTCATCTGGGCTGGCACCAAGAAGAATAGCTTGGCACAGAGAAATGTCATGTTTCAGTGTCACTTCTGGACTGTGAAGCACCAATACACCACAAAATCCACCTCCTCCCAGTCATGGAACAGCTGGGCTACAGACACCAAGCAGAACTGCAGGAAGCTGTAGGCAAGGGAAGAAAAGAATCACACTTTAAGGGGTAGCTCCAAATCAGTACTCTGTTGGGGTCTTCCCTGTCTTTGGTTTTTCCAGGCCTTGTCCATTCTCTGATGAAAAACTCTCAAAGAACATGTGCACCTACATGTAATTCTAGAAGAAAAAAAGAATTCTATTTTGTTGTTTGTCAGAGTGTAGCTATAAAGGTCTGAAGAAAAACCATTTAGAGCCTTCTTCAACACTTATTTTTCTATGGTGCATTTTAGAAGACACACAGAGAGAAAATATTCATTACAATCTCTATGAGGTCCAGCTGGGGAACACCCCAGTATATTTCTCTGGGTTGTAAAGAGACATTGTCCTGGTGTACCAGCCCACAAGCAGAACCTGCAGAGGAACTCTGGGCACACCTACCCTGAATCCAACAGTGACCACAAGCAGATGGCTGAGGAAGAGCAGCATAGGAATGCTACAATGTGAGTTTTCCCCAAAA